AGTTCCTTAGACCATGCATTTTAGAAGCGAAAATGTGCATTAAAACGACCTCCAGAAGTATAATGAAGCATGCCGTTTTAAGAACCGCGTGTTTGCTCGGAAAATGTCAATACATCAAAAATTGCTTGTCGCAGAACCGGGGCATTGCAAATTTTGTCGTATAATAAATATATCAAAAGTACTCTGTTACCGGCTAATGCTTATTACTGCAGCACTGTGAATTATTTGAAAGTCACAGTAAGAAAACTCGAATACAAACATCAAATCAGCCAACACAAAAACGTAAAAAAATTCAAGTTTAAAAAGCCGTGTGCGCAGCCAACATCCGCGTAGACACCCGTGCACGCAGCCAACACCCGTGTTTTCCGGGTGGTGGCTACACCTTCAATGCCTCGTGGTGGGGCACTGGGTAGGCAAATTTAAATCGCTTGGGCGAGGCACTCTGAACCAAAAAAACTAGAGGATGATGAAATATATTGCTCTAGAAACGTTAGAGTAGAACTGTTGGCAATTACATCACATTTTTGGTCATGCTATTTACGATTGTTTATTAATGAGTACATACATGTTCATGCTCTGTATTCTGCAACATTTGCGCGTACTATGGGAAATACGCTGAACTTACTCCTATATTTCGAACGAAGATTTTAGACTGAATAAATAAAGTATGTACAAGCTTGTCCGGTAATTTCCTACGTAAAGGTACAAACAGCACATATTTCGCGCTGAGTTTGCCCTGTGGCAATTGCCACTACACTACGTCGTACATTTGTGTATGTATTTCGCTGTATTGATTCGTAAGAAATTACCGGACAGGCTTGTACAGTAAAGATCTCGAGAGCTTCATTCGCGCGGAAAGCGAAACCAACAAACGCCAGAGTACGAGTTCTACAAAAAAATGTTTTTTTGTTTTAGTCTTTTACAAAATCGGCAACTGCATTAGCGGAATAGGAGTACTCCACTTCTTTATTTTTTAAAGTGCGCACTTCTTCGAAAATTCCAGAGGGGCGCGTGCCTCCGTGCCACTCTTTATAAATTCGACACTTTTACAGTGGGGACGCAACAAAAAAGCTGCATAAGGTGAATGAAGTAGCACCATTGAGTCTGGCGCAAGGAAAAAAGCATGTATGGGTACATTGCTTGATACCGACAGCAGGAATCCAGCGGTCGGGCCTGGTAGTAAGTTATGTTTCCAGCAGTTACACTACAGTAATCACATGCCTTGCGCCTTGCATTCATGTGCAATGTAAACCTATAAAAAACATCGAACGCATGCAGTACGATGCACATATTATTACGTAGTGAAAAATCAAATCTTATTGTGTGCATTCTAGTTTTAAATCGGAGAGCGATGGGAGCACCCCCCGGCCCCCAGGGGCCAAAAAAATTTCAGGGAAAGTAAAAAAAAAAACTATACCATTAAGCAATGCTGTCATCCAGCGTACTTACTTAATACCACATTGCACCCATTGTCATGCAAATACGGTACGGTTGCACTTTACTATGGTTGCTATGTAACGTACCATGCGCAGTGCAGCACAGCAGTACGAAACTCCTGCGCATAGCCACTTCGATTCACATAACAAGATGAGCACGGATGAATATTGGCTTACGACTGGGCAAATAAATTAGTTTAAAATTGTTACGTTGCTGCGTATTCGAGAAAGCAGTAACAGTCATTATTTTGTTTGGAAAAAGTTGGTTTTGTATCAGAGAACAGATTTGTTTAGTTTATCAGATTTAGCAAAGGACAGGGAATGCTCTGCGGTCAACTTGCGGTTGTATCAGCTGAAAATTTTAATATTCATAAGTTGCGGTGTATTCAAGGGATTAGTATTCGATTTTATGTAAAATAAGAGCTAGCATTCAGTTTATGAACGGGACATATTCTGCGGGGAGACAGGATCTTTTTGTAGACAGGGAATGTTCGGTAGTCAGTTTCCGGTGGGTACAGCTGAAATTCTTCCTTTTTTTGTTGTTTGGGCTGGTGGCTCGCCAACAAGCGGGCGTTTAGTGGAATTGTCGGTTGCGTTAACTGTTTGAACTTCTTCTTCTGATTCCGGATCAATCAGGCCGATTTCCAGTGCCCAGTTCTTGATGGTCAGTGCCGGTGAACCTTCAGAAATGTAAAAATATTTCTTGTTGTAGGCGGATTGGAGACCACCATTGTTGTAGCTGGTATGGATAAGGTTGTGAAAGAAAACAATCTTTTTCTCGTAGACAGCTGGGATGAAGATGGTAGCCTTTAAAGATAAGTTAGCTGAAGATAATTGAGTATATGTAATTTTTAACGAAGTGGCTATGCGCAGGAGTTTCGTACTGCTGTGCTGCACTGCGCATGGTACGTTACATATGTAGCATAGCCACTTCGTATATGAATACTAAACATCTCTTGCAGGTGTTCGGCCTCTCCTCGTTGTCCCGAGTGATCTCAGCTCCTACTGAACCAATTTTCTTGCTTTAAAATATTCTAGAATCTATTCAGGGCGGTGGGTGTTGTGCGGCTAATGACCTTTTGCTGTTGTGAAATTACTAAGGACAGTGGTCACCCAAAAGCTTGTTACCATGGATGCCATAGGGCTAATATGAGCTGGACTGTTACCACGGGCATGTTATACTTCATGCTTGTTATAAGTACTGCACTTGCACAAGAAACAACTTTGGCTTCGCCTCTGCGTTTCTTGTGGTTAACTGACGGAAAACCTGCATTAATAATTATTTCAATCAGTTCATAATTTGATACAGTATCCTTTTAGATTTTGATGAGATCTGAAATAAGTCGAAAAGCACATCACCCTTTTCTAGTATTTCACTTTGTCACTGTCGCACCTTGGAGCCCAGTGCCCTGAGCTGTAGCCACAGATCGGTAAATCTCTCACCTACAGCAACCCAGTTCACTAAACAGTAATACTACGACCTACTAAAAATCCTAACTCACTTATTTACAGTACCTAGTCGTAAGCCAATATTCATCCGTGCTCAGCTTGTTATATGAATACTATACATCTCTTGCAGGTTTTCTGCCTCTCCTCTTTGTTCGCTATGATATCAGCTCCCACTCATCCAATTTTCTCGCTTTAAAATGTTCTGGGAACCGCTCGGTCTGACGGGTAATCTAAGATTAATCGTTGTTTGCTATATGCAGAACCTCAAGCCCAGTGGTCACTTGAAAGCTTGTTACCATGGATGCCATAGGGCTAACATGGGCTTATCTGTTACCACGGTCACATTACACTGTACTTGCTCAATTAGCTCAAACATGAAACAGCTTTGGCTGCGCCTCTGCGTTTCCTATATTCCGTGGGCTGACTGAACGACACTTCGTTGGCTACAGTTGCTATTACAGTTTCGCGAGTTTAGCAGAATGAACAGAAAAACAGCAGCCAAGCCACAAAACGACACGAACTCTATTAACAAAGGTCAACAATCTAAGAACTGAACATTAGTAAAGACTGGACTGATAATAGACTCCGTTTGACAGCAAGCGTCCACAGGTTGGCCAATCACTAAGCCAAACGACAAGAAAAGGGAAAATTCAGCTGATACAACCGCAAGTTGACCGCAAAGCATTCCCTGTCATTTGTTAAATCCGATAAACTGAACAAAATCTGTTTTCTTATACAAAAACCCAACAGCTGTTTTCAAACAAAAAAAATAACTGTTACTGCTTTCTCGAATACGCTGCAACGTATGAATTTTAAAATAATTTATTTGCCCAGTCGTAAGCCAATATTCATCCGTGCTCAGCTTGTATTTGTACATCCGTAACATCTTATACACGAGTATGCTTTGTCCCGAATGATTGGCCGAACGGCTGGGCCGATTTTCACGCAGAAAAGTGCGTTAGAATCGTCGCAACGACGCCGGTAATCTTACGCTATTGCTTAATCGATGCGCAACAGCGGGGAAACAGAGGCCCCCAAAAAGAAATTGTTGCCATGGGCCCCCATAGACGGACGTGGGCTATTCATTTGTACAGTAGCAGCGACAGAGGCAGCCCGCGGCCTTCGGCATCGCATCGGCAAACAAAATAAAAAAAAACGTGAAACCAGGGCAAAATAATAAAAGTAATCAAGCTGGCGATTAGCGCAATCTGTATTTTTTGCTTTGTTTCTTAGCTTTCTTAGGGTTCTTAAGTTTCTAATGTTTCTTAGATTTCTTAGATTTCTTAGATTTCTTAGATTTCTTAGATTTCTTAGGTTTTCTTAGGTTTCTTAAGGTTTTTAGGTTTCTTATATTTCTTAGATTTCTTTAGGTTTTCTTAGGTTGCTTGTGTTTCTTACGTTTTTAAAGCTTCTTACAATTCTTAGGCTCATAAAATCTTTTGAATCAGAAGATTCGTATGTTTCTTTAAATCGAAATTTTCGAAACTAATGTCCGCCACGACAATACGTACGGATGTAGATCCCGTAAACTGGTTATATGAATACTAATTATCTATGCCAGGATTTCGGCACCTCTCCTTTGGCGCCGGTGATCTCAGCTTTTACTCATCCGATTTTCCTGTTTCAAAATGTTTTAGAAACATCTCGATCCCGCGGGTGTTCTAAGACCAGTTTTTGCTTGCTATCTGCAGAACCTCAAGACCAGCGGTCACTCCAAAGCTTGTTGCCATGGATGCCATAGGGCTAACATGGGCGGGTTTTGCTCTGGTGAATTTCATGGAAACAGCTTATTTTCTAACCACGTTGCAACATACTGCATTCTTCTGACAGTTAGAAAATTCTGAAATAGTCGCAAGCCAATATTCATCCGTGCTCAGCTTGTATTATATCAGATTGGCTGATCGGAAATGATTTGTACCCGATGTTGTTTTTCTTGGCAGCTTTGCTGTGGTCTTGTTTATATGATTAAAATAAAGTGTATATTATATCAACTTCCGGAAGCGTGCAGTCGTATACGCCTGTATAACAGTTGCAACCGCCCGGTGTGGCAGCGTGATTTCTCTGATTTCCCCAGTGGTTGAAACTTGAAAGTTCTTGTGAATCTTGTCTGTCGATTCTGTGAGAGTGAGACTGTGAGACTGTGAGTTATACAGTTATTGCTGTTTTTTGATTGGTTTTGATAAGCGACGTCTTAATCTCGATGGGAAATAATTCGGATTGATTATATGTGATCATTTTGGTTAGAATAATCGCCAGGTAAGGTGGTGCAGGCCGAAAGATGGCTGGCAAACTGCGACGGGCTGCGTGCTGAGTGTTTGAGAGCTGACAACTCTGCAGCACCCAGCAGCATGCAGTCTGCCAGACGAGAAAACTGTTTTTCGCTGCTGTTTTGTCAGTGCAGACCCTTTTGAGTATTTTGTGGACTGTGGAGTGGGTGTCGTGTTACTATTGGGCATCATCTCCGCCTCAGAAATAGTTCTTTGGTTGTTTCTTCGACAGCGACGTTCCTCTCTACGTGCTGCGTGCTGTACGACTCTGTCACGCTCCGTAGCTGGAAGCGCTGACAGTACAGGGAACAGCGCATGATAGCACCATTTCGCAGCCATGCAGTACTAAAAAATAAATTACTCATCATCATGAATTATTATTATTTTATCGTTCTACAATAGTAAGACTCCAATGATCCCACCAGGCTACTCAGTATTGGAAATTTGTTTGATTGATTCGATAATTTTTGGCCTTCTTGTACCTTGGTTGTAGTACCGTTGTACGAGGTATCGTAGAGAATCGCTCTCTGTTGCCATTTGTGACTGGCTCCTTCTCACTGTCTGCAGGCAGCGTTAGTGACGGTTAGTCCTACATCTCGCACATCCAACGCTCCGTGGACCGCGCGATGATCCGCCGCGTACTGGCCGGTTCCCTGTACTGGCGCCGCGCCTGCGGGCGTGCCGCGGGCGCTGAACGTCGCGGTACGCTGCGCCGTCCCCTCCGCATCATCCCCGCCGACTGCCAGACCGTCGCGGAGGCCGGCCTCCCCCTCTACGACCACATCGTCAACCAACCGCTGCGCGCCTTCGCCGAGCCAGTCCCCATCCGCTGGCGCGATCTCGGACGCCAGGTAGCGTGTTTATTTATTGATTTATATGCGTTTTTGTACGAGGTGTTCTTATCCAGTTTAAAGATGTTCATTTTACCGATGCGGCGGTATTTATTGACAGTTCAATAGTTTTGAGTGCAACGACAGCGCCAACGTCATGTCCGCTTTTTTAAAACTGTTTTCCCATTTTTTCGTATATTTTGCGCTTTATGTGCTGAATTCTCCCACAGGTTTTCTTTAATTTTTTAAATTTGCAGCGGTATTTTTTATTTATTTTGTATAATTTAATTTGTTTTGGCGCAGGTGGCGGCGTCGGCCAGCGCGGAGCCGTCGCGTCACTCCATCATCAGCCTGCCGAATCCCTGCATCGTCCCGGGCGGCCGTTTCCGCGCAGTGTACTGGGACTCCTTCTGGACGCTGCAGGGCCTCCTCGTCTCGGGCATGACGGACACCGCCAAGGGCGTGCTCCTCAACTTCGCCTACCTCATCGACCAGTCAGTGCCGACCTAATTTTCAGCTTTTTACAAATACAGAACAGAGTACTGCATTTACTGATGCTGAATTATAACAATTGATTAAATGGGTCAGTTTAATTTAGAGCTGTTTGATTAACGGTGTTATATTTGGCTTAGCTTTGTTTGATTAATTAGGTGAAATTAAATTAAAAATTACTGGATTAATTAAATTAAAAATTTTATTTAGCATCCTTTGTCTGTCAAATTTCTTTTTCCTGTTTCGTTATTCTGAATAATTAAAACCAGACTGGAGGAAATTTAAAATATGCAACAATCTCGAAGATACAAGTAATTTCCTATGGATCTGATCGTTGTTCTTATGTGTTTTATTTTTAAGCAATTTTAAGCGTTAATGTATTACGATCGAAAAACTGAATAAATGTACAGATAAAATAAAATACAAATAAAATCAAAATCGTGTGATAACTGAATTTGTGATAAATAAGAAAATTGTGAGTAGTAATAATATTTTGAAGAAAATAATACCATTTTGTGAGACGCTGCGGTCAGTTGCTGGATTGATTTATCAGGTACGGGTTTATCCCGAACGGGAACCGCGTGTACTACATCCGGCAGTCGGAGCCGCCGGTGCTGGCGCTGATGATCGACCACTACATCAAGCACCCCAATGTCCCGCCCACCGACGCCGACTTCGTGTTGCGCAAGATGCTGCCGTATCTGGAGAAGGAGTACAAATTCTGGATGAAGGAGCGATCCACCACCTTTCATTTTCGCGGACAGGCGCTGACGCTCAACCGCTACACGGGCGGCGGCCTCAGCACGCCGCGCCCCGAGTCCTACTTCGAGGACTACCACCACGCGCAGGAAATCCTCAACAAATCCATCCAGAGTACGCCCACCAGTTACCTGCACTTTTTATGATTTTATTTTTATTATTATTAAATTTTGTATTTATTTTTTGTATTTTAATGCCTCTGATATTTTTATCACAAATTTTTCATTTACTTTTTTCCAGTGTTTTCGTCTTTTTTTGTCTGTAATGTAATTGTTGTTAAAATTGTCCTTGTTTTAGTTTTGATTGTTTGTCTTGTTTATTGTGCAGGATTTTTAAGGTTAATGTTTTTCGTTCCTTTCCAGCGGGTCCGGCGAGTTTCTACGGGAACGTGGCGGCGGGCGCGGAGAGCGGGCTGGATTTCTCGACGCGCTGGCTGGACAGTGCCAGCGCGGACTTTTTGACGATCCGCACGCGCAGCATCGTCCCGGTGGATCTCAACGCGCTGCTCTGCGCCACCGAGAACGTCCTCAGCGATCTCTACCAACTCACCGGTCAGCACAGTCTTCCGAAATAATTAGTTTTATAAATTACCTTAAGCAGGATTTTTATTTTTTTTAATGACTATTCTTCTTTATTTAAAATATTATTTATTACCAAAAACGTAAAAATCTTTTCGTATAAATTGGGAACGTCTTTTGGTTGCCTCTGCTTTTACAGAAATAAGATCCCTCGCTTGGTTTTGTTTTTTAATAAATTGGGAAAAAAAATATAGAACCTGTTCTTTGTTCAGTAATAGTGGAAAATGTTTTACAAGAAACTGAAAAAAGATTTGTATTCTTTGCTTAATTGAAAATTAAAATTCTGTGGCCTGTTTGTTGAATTATTGTAAATACTGAATAAACGTTTGTGCAGGCGATCCGGTGCGCGCGGATTCGTACCGGCAGCTGGCGCTGGACCGCGGCGACGCCATCCAATCCGTCTTCTGGAACAGCAGGGCGAAGATGTGGCGGGATTATGATCTGCGCCGGCAGGATCAGCGTCCCACCTTCTACTTATCCCTGCTGACGCCGGCGGCGGAGCGCTGCAGCGGCCGCGGCGTCGACATCACCAGCAGCGAATTCATGGCCGACCTCCTCACCTCGCGCGATGTACGTTATTGCCTCGCCTTAACTGACCGAATTTTTCAGCCGAATTAAACGAAACACAATAAAATTTAATATTTATGTTGGAGTTAAAAACATAAAAAAATGGAAAATTGAATAGGAAAAAAGTACAAATAAAAATAAATATATGTGAATTGTTTAGAAAATTCAGTGGAAGGTTAGAGAATTAGGAAATAAATGGTAAAAGTTAAACAAAATCAGGGCAACATGCTGTCGTTGCAGTTGATCGGCGTTCCCTGTGGGATTCCCAACGGACAGGCCCCCGTCCGTCGCGAGGGGACGAAGCCAGACACCGGCGGAGGAGCGCGGCCGGGCGGCTTCCTCGTCGCGTCCGTCGGCAGCCGGTTCCCGGGCGCTGTCCGTCGTCTTCCCCTCTTGAATCCGCATTTCACGACTGTCCGGCACAGCTCGGGTGCATTTATCCCGGAAGCGCCCATTTTCCCAGCTGACGCGCTCGATATAATCGAGGTATTTTAGCCAATTTTCCCCGGATGTGATTCGCAGTGGCTCACCCCTACTTGTCCGTTTTTATTTGCAGAGAATCGGGGTGATCTTCAGCGCACGGCGCCAGTCATTACCAGAGGGTCAGTTGGGGACCAGTGTGGCGTATGTGCTGTCGTGTGTTAACCTGGTTGGCGTTTGTTTTGCAGAAGACGGTGCGCGTGCGGACGCCAGCGCCAAATCCGGCTCATTCCCGGTGGAGGAAGTGGTCGCGACGCTGCAGCGCGACGGATACGCGGCCGTCCGCGTCCAACTGGCGCAGCTGTTCAGTGTGGCCGGTGAGCTGGCCCCCCGACAGCGCCTGCTGCTGGCCTCGGCCTGCCAGCTCATCCTGCTGCAGCGCCGCTCCCGGCTGAGGGTGTTGTCGGCGACGCTGGCCGCCCCGGGGGAGCTGTCCGATACGGCGCTGCATGCGCTGCGCAAGTGCCGCGACACGGAGCGGGAAGTGGTAGTCGATGTCGCCTGTGGACTAAGCAGGGCTCTTCAGTATGCTGTTGCCGAAGATTTGCGGGTGGAGCTCAACAGCGTAGTGGAGCCCTTAGTCGGCCAGCTGTGGACCGGTGGCAATCGCGAAGTGAGTCGGCGTGTCCCCCAGTAACCTTTCCCACACATTTCTCCTTATGTGTATGTTGCAGTTTACGATGGCCCGCTTCCTGACCGTGTTGAACACTTTACTGACCTCCGTCGGTCGCTTAATCAGCGGACAGGAGCTACCGGAAACAGTGGGTAGGTGTGTGTGCATGTCCCGTACGGCTGCGATATCGCCGCCGTCGGCGTTTCATTATTAGTGTTGTTCGTGCGTGTGGCGAGTTTATGCTGGTGAATGTGCAAGTTCCTCGCTCTTAACTCTACGTTTCTATCGTTCTGCAGAAATGGCCAACAAACCGGATTTAATCCGCGACCTAGACCAGGTAGAGGACTTCGTCGACGCCCAGCTGTTCGAGACGGATGTGGAGTTCGCCGTGGGCATGCACAGCGACTACGACGCTGCGGACTGGGAGTACTTCGCCAACGAATACCGCGGAGCGTGTCGCATTCTGGTCCATATGAATTGGACGTACGCCGTAGTCCACGCGACGGACGTGCACAGCGGAGCCGCCAACGAGCTGATGGACGCGGTCAAAAAGCAGTTGAATGGCAAGAGCAAAGATTTTGTGGCTCTTGGAGAAGTGGATTTAGAGGGAATTGTGGATCGTTTGGGGTGTGGCATAGTGCACCTGAGGAAAGTGGATAAAATACTCAAGTTTTCCAAACGGTTAACCGGGAAATTTCCCAACCCGGCTGTGATTGCGTGTGAAGTGTCTTTCACGCACGAGACAATTACGCACCTCTTCGTTGAAGCGGCGAACCTGCTGGGGCCGACTACGGATTTTCAGTATTGTATTGTCGTGAAAGTCAACGATGAACCACCGGAGAAGGACGCCTTCTGGGCGAACTTGTATGTTTTTCATCGGGTCTCCCATCCCCGCACCAAGCCGCCCACCACCGACGAGGACAGCTGTCGTCCCGCGCATAACAGCTTGCCGGTGGGCAGCGGTCATACCGCCGAGTACGAAGTGAGTGGCGAAAAAGTGACCAATCGGCAGGTGGAGACGATGACGGCCGCCGAGATCCTGCGTGTCTTCGACATGCATCTGGTGTTTCATCACCGTGCCGACGAAAGGAACATCAACGACCGCGTGCAGTTCGACCTGGATATCTTGTATCCAGACGGATCTTCCCGGCTATTCACGGTCTTGTTGGAAGACGATTATTTCGACTACGTCTTGGATGAATGGCAGGAGTACTGGAAGAAACAGGCTGCGAAGAAATCGCTTGCCAAACTATACCCATTTCGAATATGCCACAAAGATAAATGATGGTTACGTGCCCTTTGTTAGCGAAAAAACTGCGCCAAACTTAGCCGATCTCATTCGAAAATGTTTGGATCCAGTTGCGGCGAACAGGATACCAGTAAAAACTGTACTATCAAAGCTACGAGGAAAACACGCTATAATATTTTTTTCCTGTAAGTGGAGAGCTGACCGAACCTTCCTAATAATGTTCGACCCTGTTACTGACCGCATAAGCTACGAGAAAATGGTCTTCCCTCCAAGTATCGACACCAGCCAGCTGACAGTTATTGGGCGGCATTTAGCGGATACAGAAATCGTGTTCACTGAGCAACTGCATCTCCTCCATAAGCCAGATAAAACATTCCACTTGTGGAATATAGGCAAAGGGACATGGCGTGAACTACGACTGTTAGCACCCGTGCTGCTAACATTACTTTACGTAACACTATGAGTATATGCAATATACGAGTAAAGAGATACGAATACATAGTATGAAATGAAATGGACTTTAATAAGATGGGAGAGCGAGAGCCGCCGATGTTCTGCGGCTTGGTGCAACTAATGAATGCTTAATTCCGGCTGCACCCGGCTTTTAACCATTACCGGAATATACAACACAACGATAGCACATCGGATGTTACAGATGTACGAGTACATGCAGTATAGGATAAAAAATAGGTTAGGCTTGGTAGTTTCTACCAAGTGCTCCCCGACTAAGTTGATGCCGTCCCTTGGCATCAAAAAGATGGGAAAGCGAGCAAGCAAACAAGAAAATAACTTTTAAAAATAAACATCAGAAAGAACAATGATTGCAGTTAAATAAGCATGCACATTTTAATGCGTAAACAGTACGAGAGCACTCAAATCGACACACAATTACGCTAACAGAAATCCACTAAATGTGTGTCCAGTCAGGGCACATCCATGTCCACGTGCACGAGATTCCGTTTTCCAGTACATATCGCATATTTATCATAATAATTATCTTCTTATCGGATGGTTTCGTGCCGCATGCCTCACGTGGCCGCCAGATTCAATCATCACTGGCAAGTTATTTCGGTACATCCGCGATCGGGATCAGAATCCATTAGTGCGCTGGCCGTTCGCGGGAGTTGTACCGACAGCTGGTAAATTTCTTGGCAGAGGCATATCCATCCGTATTTCAGCGGAATTGGCCAGATGGATGATGCAAAAATTTTAGAAATTCTTCTTGCTAAATTATTTTTAATGAACAACTAAATTAATAAGCGCTAAGCGCTTTTACAGGCACCTCTCGTTTTATTTTAGCAAAGCAAATTTACGTGCCTTCTTTTCTTTTGAAAATTTAAATGGATAATCCGAAAAAGAAAGTAAGTTGAAAGCAGAAGCGGTAAAATACTTACCCATACTCAGGAACTCTTTTAATGCATGTCTTGATGCATTTCTATTTCAGGAACTCTTATCACTGCGGTCTTTTGACTACTTTAGGCGCTTCAATTATTAGTTATGCCTTTTGGCTTTTTTATGCCCAGGTGGAGGAAACAAAAATAAACGAAAATAAAATGAATTTTGAATTCGTCCCATTTATTCTTTTTCCAGCTTTTGAAAATCTTTTGTTACTGTTAATGCCGCTTTGCGCTCTTTTATTTATTTTTTTTAAAGCTGGTATGCGGGACATTTTACACTGGGGCTTTTAGGCTAAAATGTAAGAGCACAAAATTTTCAGCATAGTTTTCACACAGAAGCAATCTGACTCACACAAAATCAAAGACACAAGCAAGCACAATTTATTCATCATCACTGGCATCTGAGTCGTCGTCATTCATAATTACGTTATTAGCATCCCATCGCGGATTATACCCGTTGTTAAATGCTCTATCTTCATCGACATTTTCCATATAGATATAATAACCATCCTCATCACAACAAAAACTGCAATTTCCGCATCCACCACAATCAGGTGGCATGTAATAAAAATTTCCATCGGCGTCACAGCAAAAATTGCAATTACCGCATCCACCGCAGTCGTTTTTTATATTGTTAGGGCTGTTAAAGAATGGGCCGCCACAGCAGATATCACAATCACCACAGTCGCACTCGTCATATGCGCCGTCTGGGTCAATGCCATGATCAGAACACGCAGTCTGATACCCTTCCTCGAAACCATCGTTGTAACCGCTTTCGTAAGCGCGATCAATAATACGGTGTAGGTGAGCTGCCATTTTACTTGTTGAATACCCCACTTCATTGTTTTGATCGTATTCCATAGCCATTAAACAACCCTCGATATCACTTACAAGGTTGGGGTCAGGTTCTATTTTACGAAAGTAGTTATCCAGAAATTTTTTTAAAGCTGGCTCAGTTTTGCACAGTGGCTCCATAAAACTTCTGAAGTCACTCCAGCCCAAAATAAGATCATAGTTTTTTGGGTTATGCCTCATGACATAACATTTTACTGTACGCTCACTACCGAAAGCTGTAATTTCAAGGTCTACGGAACCTAACGCATATATCCTGTGACCAGACGCTGTTCTAACCGACTTTCTATCTGCTTTATCAATAAGCGGAGGGTCTCCCATTTGCTGATATGTTTCCAAATTTAAAAACGTAAAAGTTGACCCTGTGTCGAGCAACGCTAAAACTTTTGCATTATAAATGAATGCCTTAATTAATGCTGGTCCTTTAGAATCCATTTGCAAATAATTAACCAATACACACTGTGAACACAATTACCTGTCTACCGCTGGGTAGACTAGTTCCTTACCACTGGGTAAAGAACAACTACAGTAACTTCGAACGTAAGTGAAAACCAAATTCTTTCGCAAACCACACAACCTGCCTGTTTACCTCTGGGTAAACTACCTCTGTACCACTGGGTAAAGAGATAACCAATAAATAATAATATTACACAATTATTTTTTTAAAGTAAATACAGTACACTGAAATAATAACTGCAGTGTAAAAGTGCTATAACAAGGTACCTGTCACTGAATAGGTGCAAATATCAAAAGATACCAATCAGTGCGAGCAATTCGTGCTTGAAGAAGAGCTATAGATTCAGCTTGAGTATCAGCCGGCGTAACGAACAAGTTATCAAAGATAACCGCTGTTGAAAACAAAAGGTCAAAAAGTTTCATTTAAAGCACAAGGAAAAGTTTCATCAATGTTATACCAAAGGTCAACCTGACCGGTTAATCGTATGCATACATAAAGGTTTGAATGCGTTAACTAACGAAAATGTTTCAACTGAAACAAGGACTGCAACTGTTGCGGGTTTAAGTAACAAAAACTGACCGTTTGCTGCACTTCAGAGGCACTTTGTACGAAATCGCGTAGTACGTACCTAACCATAACCTCTTTCTCCCTGCGTATGAGGCACTGGCCACCGCCAACTAAGGAAAGCAGCTAATATTAGAGCAGCCCTTTAGGCCCCGTCCCAATGACGTACGCAACTGCCCATAAATGGTAATCGACCGTACCAAATTTAAATATAACAACAGTTATACCATCTTCTTAGTCATCGGAAAACATTTTAACTGATATTAATTTAGACATTTTTAGGACATGGTTTTATAATTTGTTCCGAATGACTTTGTTATATATTTCAAGCTATGGTGACCTTTAAAGAAAATTTTGAGCAGGGTTACATGTAATAATGAACAATTTTTCAGTGCTTAATGGTACAGAATTTTCTGCTTATTTCAGTCTTGACCTTTCTACGCAGTCTTTTACCACTTCATTTAACAGCGAATTTTATAACGAAAATTCGAAATTACAAACTTTACGCGATTCAAAAATGCAAAGCATATTTCACGTGTTGCAACACCTTTCCAAGCAAATAATACCTCAAAAATGACGGTAATTATTATGCCTAAATTTTCCTTCAAAAATGTACAGAAAATTTCATAAGACGTCTGTTTTTTAATATTTACCTTTCAACTCAACACTTCTCACCCGGGGAAATAAAATAACAGTTCCGACGGCTGTTATTGAAAAAAATTTAGAAACCTGGTTTTAACAAACCGAAAAAAAATCTTCAGCTGTATAAAAACATTATCAGTCGACTACAAGAATTCCATTGTAATTCTCTTTTTGAAAAGTGAAAAGATTTTAACTCGAGTAATAATATAATTGTCTTTCAATGACACTGGCGCGAAAATGATTTATGTAAATTCAACACCGGCGCGCAAATAATTCAATTAAATTATGCCAAAGATAACCTTCCTTCATTCAAACCTCTCTTGGCATTCCGGATCCGGAGAAATAATAAGTACAGAAGGGGATATACGTAACATTAATATCTTGAAAATTGCTACACAATTAAAATAATACATTTTGAATCCACACAATTACCATAACACGGAATATGAAGATTCCGCTGATCAGTTGTAGCAGCGTGCACTCCGCCACAACCGATTCAGACGGTTTCGGCACCAAATGTTAGCACCCGTGCTGCTAACATTACTTTACGTAACACTATGAGTATATGCAATATACGAGTAAAGAGATACGAATACATAGTATGAAATGAAATGGACTTTAATAAGATGGGAGAGCGAGAGCCGCCGATGTTCTGCGGCTTGGTGCAACTAATGAATGCTTAATTCCGGCTGCACCCGGCTTTTAACCATTACCGGAATATACAACACAACGATAGCACATCGGATGTTACAGATGTACGAGTACATGCAGTATAGGATAAAAATAGGTTAGGCTTGGTAGTTTCTACCACGACCGTCCCCTGAAATGCTTCCTGCTAGAAACTTCATCACGGCCAACCGTAAGGGTTATTTCTGGGACCAAAATGACTGTTTTATGGAAATCGATACAGCCACTGGCAGGATGGAAGTGCGATGGAATGCTCCCGTGGAAATGGGGTGCGTTCAGCAGCACACCGGCAATTTTCTGACCGACAACTTGCTGGTGACTTTTTGCTGACCGACAAAAAGTTTTCCCGACAATTTGTCGAAACGACAAATCGATGATCGACAGAATGCGTGACTGAGCATTCTGCTGACAACCTTCTGAGAACAAAACGTAAAGAACAAGAAAAAGATGATCAATGCGCAAAATCATAAGGAAGCAATAATAAACGTTAAAGTAGCACGCAAAAAATAAGAAAATGAAGAAACAAAGCTAAAATTATCTGTACGAACCGTAGAAATCTAAAACAATTATCCTACAAATGTAAAAAATACGTTAGTTAACACTAAAATCTTAAGAAACCACTCAGAAAGCAAATAAACCAATAAAGCAAACGTATAAGGAAGTCGGTCAAGAAAATAGTTTTTACAAAGGTCTGACAACAAAATTGTTGAACGGCAAATTTTTTTGGTCAGGAGGTTGTTGTAAGCAGCAATATGTCAGTCAGCAAACTGTCGAAAAAACGGAGGGCAGAAAATTTAAAAATTAAAGTTCAACCGCGTTTTGTGATCAGCGCTGTTACTTAAGAAAAATTGATCCGCTTTTAATGAAAGCAATTAACACAGCCGACAATTTGAATCTTATTTCTCATTTGCAGGATGGCTTCTTATGTGG